ACTGTAATCATGTTTTATAGTGGAAACCAGTGCTATTTTGATGTTAGCACGTTTCCCCGTGTCAGACTTTACACAGTGCTCTGTCGGTGTCTGAATAATGAACTGTTTCTTTGCCTGTGTTGTCTTTGGGGAGTTGGACAAACCCAAGTACTGCATCGAGCTGTTGTCTCACACAGTCTGCCTGGTGAGAGTTTGGAGGGGCACGGTGGTTGGCTACACCAATAGCCTGCAGGGCTTCAAGCTGAAGGTGAGCTCCACCCCTGTGTGTGAAGAGTAAACTTTGCAGAGGACATTGCGGCAAACAAATCTCAAAAATCTTTTATATAATCAGATTTTATAACTGAGAACATCAGACACAACAGAATGCTTGTACAGTGTTTGTATTAGATGTTCTGAGTAGAAACTTTAGATGACCATTTTTGCCATTCCTGCCTGCCATCAAAGTCTACTTTAATATCCTGGAGTCCAGCCTTGCCAAGATGCTCAAGATGAGCACCATGGTTCAGGGTCTGGGTCTTCAAAATGACCCTGAATGTCCAGACCATCAGGATCACTTACACTAAGTAACGGTCATTCTGTTGATGAAGAATCAAACTGTAGTGATAAAATATTGTGGATTAACTTCTGATCTGTGAAAGTTTTAATTGCTCTTTAGTTTTTAATTTTGGTTTTAATTATATATCCAAAAGCAGCATAAAGAGTAATGTTTTCTTTTCTTTTTATTGAACAGACACTGCTGAGATAAAGCAGCAAAGATGCAGTTCTTATGCTTCAGCAGAGCTGTCAGACCCTTCAGGTGTCCAAAAGACACAAAAAAGAGACCTTCCCTGACCGTTGTTCTTTCACTCTGTTTCTAAACATGTTTCCAGTGTGTCTTGTTTCGCGACATGTCTACCTGAACCTGCTAAAAGTAGTAATAATTAACCGTGCCCAGATGTAACTATTAGCTTTCAAGGACATCCAAACAAGCATTTATGGAACCCCTCTGTGTCAACATCCGAGTGTTACAACAGAAGGGAGAACACCAGGTGTATACAAATATTTATGCATAATAATAAATTTAACTTATATCAAAAACACAAAAAGGTTATGAATAGAGTAAAATTATTTAGCTTGGCAGTATTATTAACAATTTCACTAATGAGGACTCAGATCTCAGTGCGTTGATTCTCTTTCCTAGGTTCATCTGATCAGCAGATGAATAGAAAGCGTGTGTGTGTGTTCCTGTGTTTGTATTTATGTTGGGGGGGCATCTCGTTTGCATTATAATTGTAAAATTCTACCTAATACAGCTAATTATAAACATGATTCGGCTTGCAGATATTTTTTACTCCTGAATAAAATATCTACATCTGCCCAAAAAATTTCAGATAAAATTTTGGGCAGTCTTTAATTATCAGGTAGCAAAACCTGAAATAATGAACCCACAGAATGAGGAACTTTTTTCTGCAAATCTTCAAAACCTATTTTTGGGTAATCAAATACAGTG